GCTTATTATAAAACCGCTTTCGCACAGGATGCCCTCGTGCAGGAAACGCCTGATACCGCCACCAGCCTTATTAATATCAAATTGCCCCGGGATGGTACGATGATCCGCTCGATGCGCATTTCTCCCCGTGGACGTGATGTGGTATACAGTGAATTTAAAGAAGGAGAATATAATATTTACATTCAGAAAACAGGCAAGGAGCAAACACGGTCACTGATCCTGAGCACCGGGCGGTTGGATTATAATGAGCTGACGCCCGATGCAAATTATCCCTTATTGGCGTGGAGTAATAACGGCTATAAAATAGCCATGTTGTATAAATACAAAACCCAGACCCGGCTGCGCATCTACAACTCCCTGAAAGCAAAAATTGAAAACTATGTGATCCCTGCCAACCGGTTTGACCGCGTACTGGGCATGACCTTTAGTGAGACGGATGAAAAGCTCATCTTCTCAGCCATCCGGAAAGGCCAGACTGATCTTTACCTCTTTACGCTAAAGGGTTCGCGCATGGCTAATATCACCAATGATATATGGGATGATGTACAACCCTGGACCGTAAGTGGAGGAGGGCGCAAAGGATTGTTATTCCTCAGCAACAGGCCTCAGAACAACCTGCATGTCCCTGCTGAAGTGAATGAGTTGCCTTCCGGTCCCATGAACCTGTATTTCTATGATACCAAAACAGAAAGCCCTGTCTTGCTGAAATGTTCGGATAATACAACCGGCAATATCACCCAACCTATCCAGTACGGCGATTATAACTTTGCCTACCTGCTGGACAGTAACGGTATCCAGAATAAATATGTGGTTGTATTTGGCCGGGATGTCAACAATATGGACTCTGCTATATCGGTGCCTGTAACCAACTATTCACGCAGTATCCTGAATCACCAGTACAACCTGGCCAGTAACCAGGTAGCCGACGTTTTGCAGATGGGTAACCAGTACAAGATTTTCTTCAGCCCTATGCTGGTACCTGGTGTAAATACAGAACCCAAAATACTTCAGAAAACAACATTATCGGCCACGCATAATTATACCGGCGCTTCACCCTCCTATAAGGAAAACATGATCCTTTTTGATGAGCGTAAACCGGCAACAGAGCGGCCTTCTATTGTGAAAAGCGGGAATGTCTTTCAGTCGGAATTTTCGGATACTTCATCAGCGTCCGCAAGGCCGGTAGAGAGTGTCATTGAACAGCCGGTCGTAACCATGTCGCCAACAGATACCAGCCTGCTGGATCCTTCTATTAAAGACAGTACCTACCTGAAGCTAAAATCAAAGCCTTATCGTTTGTCCTTCAAACCAGACTTCCTGTCTCTGCGGCTGGATAATACACTTTTGTTTACCAAATACCAGCCGGCTGGCTTTAATGGCAACCAGTTTGCGAATCCGCCGCTTGGAGGGTTGATGACCGTAAGCCTGAATGATGCGCTGGAAAACCATCGCTTCACCGGCGGTATCCGGCTGCCAGCCAGTTTCACAGGTGGGATGACCTGGTTCCTGCAATACCAGAATTCAACACGGCGTGCCGATTGGGGACTTGTGTTCGTTCGTACGGCACAGGTGAATGATTATACAGTCCGGTATTCATCAGGTCCTTTCTATTTTGATCATCCGCAAACCGGCAAGGTGGTTACCAATCTGCTGCAGGGAAGTGTATCCTATCCCCTGGATCGTATCCGTCGCCTGGGGATGAATCTGGGCGTTCGCCAGGATGCACTTAATTTCCGTGCGGCCGATACGCTTAGCCTGGTGTACACTACTCCTGCCCGGAACTATTGGGTGATGAGCCGCTTTGAATATGTATTTGATAACAGCAGGGGACCGGTTCAGAACATCCGTTTTGGTTTCCGTTATAAATTCTTTGCAGAATATATGTATGGCTTATCGGAAGGAAATAAAGGTGGCTTGTACAACCTCGGTACCGACTTCCGGTATTACAAGCAGCTCTATAAGAATACCATTTTTGCTGCGAGATTGGCTGCCGC